ATTATATAATTATTATAAGCTTTAAACATATTATTATTGTAATATAATAGTATTATTATTGTATATTTTACAATGATTTTAGTAAGCTTAAAACAATTTAAAATCATCGGATTTACAACTTTAATGCATCATAAAACCATTGAAAAAAAATACAGGATTTCTGTAAAGAACCTTCTTAATTAGATGTTTATTATATACTCCTTGTTCTTATTTGGTTTACAAAAACTAAAACCAGAGAAAAGAAAAAGAATAAGTATTAGACAAAAAAAGCTTTTATATAAAGAAATAATAGAAAGAATTGGTACCAAAAGAAAAATCTATATATACAAAATTTTTAAAAAATGTATACAAGAAAAACAAAAATATAAATAGAATTAGAAACAATTTATAAGTTTTCTCATGCCAAAAAAAATCATTATATAGGTAGCTGTTAATAGAAATTAAGCAAATCTATATTTGAAAAAAAATTAATGTTTTAAATTTCATAGTTCATATTTTAATGAATTTTAAAGCTATTTTAATAGTTGAATATTCAATAGAAAGCTTGGATTATAAACTTTCTTTTAAATATTAAATCATAAAGATAGTTTTAAAATTCATCGAAGTATGAGCTATGAAAATTAAGACATTAATTTTTTTTTAAATATAAATTTGCTTGATTTTTATTGATAGCTACTTATATAATATTAACAAAGAAAATCACAAACAATAATAATATAATTACAAATTTAGAAAAAAATAGATAATTTAAAAATATACAAAGCTAATTTTAATATAAAATCTAGAATAAGTTTGGAGTTCTTACAAATTTTAAGGGAGGAAAAGACAAGAAGCAATTGAAAAACATATTAGATTAGAAATTTTTGCTAAATTTGTTAAGTTGCCAAACATTATTTACAAAATTTTATATATGGTTAGCACAAATACAAACAACAGCTATAGTATCCTGAAACTATTATTTGTAAATCACTAGTTATAACAATCATGCATAGTGATGGATATACATACAGCATCTCAACTTCAAATATAGAAAGTGAATCCCTTCTTAGCCTACTAGACCAACTTAAAGTGAATTTGTTTCTATACAAATATTTTTAGTTGAAATACTAATACTAAAAAGCTTTAGGACCATAACTTAAGTATTAAGAAATTTAATAAGTTAGTTGAATTTGTTAGACAGCATAGATATAGATAGGCTTTTGGTAGACCAAAAACTTAAAAGGAGGAAAATGTTGTAAGACAGGTTTTATAAATTAGTATAGCATAATATATAATTTATATTTTATATTTATATTATTTAGCTTTATATTATTAACTTGTATTTTATATTGGATATCATATTTATTATTGTTCGAAACATAGTGATGATTTTATGTTTACTCCAAATCATGCAATATCCGTTAATAGCATTTAATCAATTTTTCATATTAGATTATACTGCATATTTCTGCAAAAACAACAAAATACATGATATCTAATTAAATTGTTGCTTCGGATATTTATTAGCTCTGATACCTAATAATAAATATTTTAAACCTTTTTTAAAATTTAAGCAAAAATATCTTAACTAATGCCTAAACAAAATCAATAAAAGTTTTTTTTTATCTAAATAAAATACATCTCGAGAATTTAAATAAAAAAATTTTATTGAATTTGATTAGATAATTGTCGAAATTAAAGTTTTAAATTTGTAGCTTTAATAAATATTAAACCTTTTCAAAATTAAGTAATAGTAACTCAACAATTCTCTGATCAAATTTTTTTCTTTGATTCTCTAAATATAGAGAATTCAAATAAAAAAATTTTTATTAAATTTGACCAGGTAGTTGTCAAGATATTTTCATTTAAAGTTTTTTTTTTTTTTTTTTTTTTTTGAATAGTGACCTTATTGGCCATGTTGGTGTTTGTATTTATTAAAAATTATTGTTTTTGTTATATGAAAATACATCAAGCCACACATGTACTTTTGGTGCCTAATTTAAGTAGTTTGTATTTAAGCCATTTTACTTAAAGTTCTACACTATCTGCTATACCTGCAACCCAAACTACAGGGCTACCTATTTAAACCCTCTGATTTCTACATATAGAATCTCTAATAAACCAAACTGTAATTAGGCTATAGAACTACTTTACTCCTAAGGTAATATAGTACATATCCCACACATGTAGCAACTACTTAGACTTACTAGTAATTACACCACAGCTTTATCCATATACTTGGGGTTAGGGCTAACTATTAAAACCCTACAATTACTTGCTCTTGTTTAGTTCACACAATCCCAATACCCATATTTAGATCTTCTTTTTCTTTAGATTCTTTATCAATCTCTTTTTTGCTTCTAGCTAGCAACCCAGAAGAGTTGGTCTGCCCAGGCTTTAAATGCTTTATAGTCGCCCTCCTCTTGATATATACTTTCAGAACGTATATTCTTTTTCTCCAGTGCATCTACCTGGTAGTTCAGCTAGTGTGTCCAGATTGGTCGTTCAGTTCTCCAATCTTGATCCCTAGTTCCAAATTTAACCTTCCTGTAGTATTGTCAAAGATCATGCTATCTCCCAACTCGGAACTTCCCAAACAGGTTTTTAGTTAATCTAGTTCCCTGGATTTATTGTGCCAAAGCTCCCATAACTAGATGATATAATCAAGGTTACAGATTTGATTCTAGACCCAACCGATAATCATAACCATCAACCGGAACACAGGCCCAATTTTATTCAATTATTGTTGTCCATAAAATTTGAACTCTAGACCTGTTGCTTGGAGAGGGTGACAACTTCATTTAAAGTTTTGATGAAATTTTTCTTTCTTTATATTCAAAAAATCAAAATAAATTTTTTTTTATGAGTAGTTGTTAGGATATCTTCGCTCAAAGTTTTTACTTTGTTAGGGAGTATAAATAATAAATGTGAAGTATAAAAAAATAGCCTTAGGGAGCATCCATAATTTACATTAAACCAGTATTGTTATAGGAACCTTAAAGATAATACTATATGGTATTATCTTCAAGGTCTCTATTTCTATACAATACAGTACTGGTTTAACGTAAATTATGGATGCCCCCTTATAATTTATGATAAAGTTTTTATAAAAATATTTTTTGTTAAAACCTTTTAAGTATTATTTAAAAGTTTTTGAAATACTATTTGCCAACATATACTAATATACAGTATTTAAGTAATCTTTAAAAAAATTTTTTAAATGAACTAACTAAAATTGTATGCTGTGTGTAGCTAATTATATCAAGATACAGCTTATCTAGAACTTCATAATTAAAAACAATACAATTTGAAATATTGTATTTATAATTAATGTAATGTAATATAAATAATAGATCTATAAAACGTGACTCAAATAACGATAATATCTTAGACCTCAGCGAAACCTTACACTGTTAGGATTTTAGGCGGATCTAAAGCATCACTACAAATTAAAAGAAAAGAAAAATTTCTTTTTATTGAAATACTGAGAAAACCTAAAAGTCCAGCAGGTGTTTCGGATTTTTACAATAAAACTGTATTACGAGTTACGTTTTATAGCACTAATTAAAAATCTTAACTAAAATATTGGATCACTTTTCACAATTATTGGAGAACATCGCTTACACACTATATCTCTAATAATAAAAGTATATCTGATATTACACAAGAAAGTATAATTCAAAAAAAAAAAAAAAACACCTTTTTGTAATAATCAAAAGCTTATGCATGAATTATTATTATTATTATAAGAAGTTCGATCAACAATTTTGAAAAAATAATCGGCTGGCTAAGCCAAAAATTAGCTTTAACCGATTTTTCCAGATCACTACGAACATGATCACTTGTCTTTCTTAGAAGTAGAAGCCTTAGCTTTTTTGGTACCACGGAATTTCTTGGCGCGGTTCTTTCTTTCCTTACGTTGTTTTCGGGCGGTTTTCTCTGGTTCTGCAAGTTTGTGCTTTAAAGAAATATTTTATGAAAAAATATTAAATAACTAAGAAAAATAATTCGAAATTATTCCACATCGTAATTACCCTGACAAGCCTATATTTCGGTTCAAATTTTTTAGCAGCAGCAAGATCATCATATATTAGACCAAATCCTGTTGATCTGCCCCCTCCAAAAATCGTACGAAAGCCAAAGACGAATATAGTTTCCTTTTCGGCTTTATACATTTTAGAAAGCTTTTCACGAATGTCATCTTTGGACAAATTTGAAAGACCAGGGTGAATAACATCCACCACAAATTGTTTACGATTTAAAAGACGGTTGGTAAGGAATTTGCGTGTTCGTAATGTTACACCGGCCGCATCAGACTGTATTTCAAAAAATATTTATTAAGTATGGTATCCATCAAAGCTTTAGCATTTTAGTTTTAAATTAACTGATAATGGTCATTCTTCAATTTCAACTTTTATAAAGTACCATTTTGGCGGCAAAATTTCTATTCGTTCAAAAACGATAAAAAGATCGGTGAATGTGAAAGAGGGAGAACTACGTGAATTTTCGACATCGTTTATAAACGTTGTTGATTGGTTGATCAGATTATCAAAAAAAAAAAAAAAAAAAAACTATAAATTCTAAATTCCAATCAAATAATCAGATGATGTCAGAAACCACTGATTCATCAAAACCTCGAAAGCGGTTTATAGGGAAAGCCGCTGCAACAAAAAAAAAGCAAGAGGATGCGAAAACAAGTAACATTGAAGATAATGCGATAATAGCTGTAGGTATGGGTTTGCATTTTAAAAACATTCAATATACAATGATGCTTTTTGATATCATAACTTTGTCAAATTACATATTGTCAGATAAAACAAAATCAAATCGAGTTGTAAACCAAATTCCTCTCGAGATTCTAAATGACTCGTTATTAAACAAAGCGATTGAACAGGTTTCAAATATAATCCTTTAGTTTTTCGTATTCTAAACTTAATATAATATTAGCATAATGACAATCCTCGTAAAATAAAAGCTTCCTTCAAATTATAATTTTGAGATTCATAAGACAGTATGGCAGATTCAACGTTCAGGAGCAAAGAAAGGTTTGAATCACTGAAATTTAGAAAACTTTTTTCCTATTCATATAAACCATACATATAATCAAAATGGCTTCGTAAACTTTTTACATTAAACAAATACAGTCGCGTTACAGTTTCCGGAAGGTCTTCTAATGTTCGCGTGCACAATTGCGGACATACTTGAAAGGTTAGATTATCAAGTGCACAACTTTGTAATAAAAATTTTTATTAAGTTTATTCTCTACTTCAAATCGATATAATATTTATAAAGATTTTGCAACGTTGAAACACTTATTATGGGTGACGTTACATATGGTGCATGCTGCGTAGATGATTTTACTGCCAATGCGTTAGAATGTGATTTTATGGTCCATTACGGACATAGTTGTTTAGGTTACTTTTGCTTAATAATATTTTAATTTGCGTTCGTTTTTAAGATTAAGTCCTAAAGTAAATAAATTTCCAAATAGTTCCTGTGAATGTAACAACTATTAAAACGATTTATGTATTCGTGGATATTGGAATTGATATTGAACATTTCTTGAATACTATATTAAAGAATTTCGAACGAGGGAAAAAATTGGCAATTGTTGGTACAATTCAATTTGTTACGGCTATTCAGGTAAAATAAAGTTACTATGACTTAATATAATATACTTCATATTTAACATCAAATAATATCTATTCATAAAAACAATGCCAATACAGGCAGTGAAAAAACATTTAGAAAGTGATTATTCTCTATTTGTACCTCAATCGAAGCCACTGTCACCCGGAGAAATCTTGGGATGTACGTCACCAAAATTGGGCGAGCAAGATGCTTTAATGTAAATAATGTGATTGAAAGTTTAGTTATTACATTATAAACAATTTTGAATGTTATAATATTTAATTATTTATATTTTTGTTCTTTTAGATATCTGGGTGACGGAAGATTCCATTTAGAATCAATAATGATCGCCAATCCTGATGTTCCATCGTTTCGGTAATTTGAATTCTAATTTTTTAATCCATTTAAAATTTACTTATTAATAACAATTTCTTACAGGTACGATCCGTACTCAAAAAAATTTACTCGAGAGCGTTATGACCATTCAGACATGTACGCGCTTCGTAAACATGCGATAAATTTGGCTAAAAAGGCAAAAAAATTTGGGTTAATCCTAGGAACTTTGGGTAGACAAGGTAGTCCCAAAGTTATGGAGGTATTTAAAGATTTGAACGTAGTGATAGCGCCGATTAATGATGGGCAATCTGTAAAAATTCCGTATCACACGTGTCTCGGAATATTTTGGAACCCGGCCGGAATTATGCAGCTGGCCCGAATTATACAATATATCCCGCGCATCACGCGCGTTGCTCATCATTAGTTGTTACTTGAGCTTACGGATTCTTTATTCGAATATTTGCCGAATGACTAACAGAATTCGAATAAATACTATTTATTCGAATAAGATATGCTTATTCAAATTATTCATCAGATAAATATTTATTATATTTATTCGAATATTCGCCGAATACTGAATAATATTCGAATAACGAATACGAAGCTCTAGTTGTTGCATATTAAACCATGGGTTGCCACTGTTTGACTAATGAACAAACCGTCGCTACTCCTAACCAAATCTAAATAGTCATGTTTCAAGTGCTAAATAGAAGCAAAATTTATGTTTGAATAGTATCTCGAAGAAAAAATTCGTTCTCGCGGGTTAGATTATATTTGTATCTTGCTTTCAGAAATATTTCCTGACAAATTGGAGCAATTTCAAGATATTGATGCGTGAGTTTTGTTATGTATATTTATTCTGACTCATTTGATGCACATGAAGTACTGATAAACCCATTTATTAAATCATAGATGGATTCAAATAGCATGTCCACGTCTATCGATTGACTGGGGTTATGCATTTCCGAAACCATTACTTACACCTTATGAAGCATCTGTTGTATTAGATGAAGTCAATTGGCAGCCTATATATCCAATGGACTTTTACGCTAATGACAGTTTAGGGCCCTGGACTCCTAATCATGGCAAGGGTAAACGCTGAGTTTTGGTGGAGATCTAAGGTTTATCGACAAGTAGTATAGTTACAAAATAACAATATTTTTAAACAAAAAAATAATTTAAAATTATGTAAAGTTTTATTAAAGGAAAAATTTATATCAAAATTTTACTAGAATAACCCCTGTTGTGTAACTAAGTAAAAATGCTCCTAATCTAAATAGTGGAACCGATTACTTATAACTCTGGTCAAATTTGCAGATCATTGGCCAAACCCAGATCTTTTCTATTTCAAATATGGCCAGAATTATAAATAATCAGTTCTACTACTGTCGTCCTCCTCTATAATCACGCAGTCCGTATCGTGCAAATTGTGTGATTCTATAAAGTTTTTACTATGATGTGCTTATAAAGAAGTATATATATATATATATATTTATTTATAAGTTTATTAGTAAAGTGTTGTAGGCCTTGGTGTGATTATAAAAAGGGAATTTACTATGATGCGATTATATAGGAGGTAATTATATAGGAGGAAGACGGTATTTAAATTACTGAAAAAATTAGCCCATGTGTATAACATAAAAACTAAAATATCAGATTAGCATTAAAGTTTAAGTAAAACATAATATACGGTATACATACTGCAGCCAAATCATGATTAGCCTTATTAAACTTAAATCTTTTGAAGCCAAATTAACCTATTTTTTACTTTAATATAATATGAACATGCTAGAACTAATACTAAATAAGAGGGATCTTTTCTAGAAAAATGACCCTCCGAGACTATGTAGATTTTATAAACAAAATTTAAATTTACTAGCCATCCAATGATCCAATTCGAACATTTTTTTTTTTTAGTCTGTAGAGCTCACTAATTCTACAAAATAAAAAAAAGGTTGAATTGGATCATTGAATGGCTAGCAAATAACAAACATCGGAAAAAATTTTTTAGTGCTGTTCTGCGCAGATTTGCAAAAAAATTAAATAATATATTAAATGAAAATCTGTGCAAAACTTCAGACTCACCAGCTATAGCTAAAAGATCCCAAGTAACAGTTTTTTATTTTTCATTTTTTTTTTTTACTGGTTTCTTTTTTTATAAGTCTTGTATTCTTTTAAGAAAGTAAAAATAAAAATATCAAGCTAATACAATGAAAATTTACTATGAGAACATTAATATAATCGGAAAAAATACAGGATTTTATAGATATTAACCATTTAGACTTTGCATTTTACGTAAAAGCATTGAATACAAAATGTATTTTTCTCACTTTAAATATTATAAAAATTTAGTGTTTTACTGTATGTTGTGTTAACGATTAAAAAATTATTAGTTTCGGTAGCTGATTCAAATTATAAGATAATCAAATTCGAGATGTACGAACAATTTTGTGCCTTAGTGTGTTTATTTAAGTAAACCTTACTTCCATTTTCAACCCTATTACATTCACCAGAAATTAAACCCTAGTCCCAACTGCAGTCCCTTTTTTAACTTATCACTTGTTGTTGCTACCAATGGTAAGCAGAAATTCACTTCTAATCGTAGAATGCTACTTCGGTAAACGATACCAACGCCTGTAGACACGCTAGGTGCCCTTGAAAGACTGAAGATACTAGAGAGAATTCGTTGCGCTAATAAAAGACGAATAATACCAAAGGATAACAGCGTGACATTTATGAGCACCCATCAATTCACCCTCGAACAAATCTCCACTATTATACCTTATTCAGAACCAAATAAAAATAATTAAAATAATAATTAAAATTTAATACTCACATGGATTCATTTGGAGTAAACTGCCTCCATTCAGAAACAAATGGCCCTTAACGGGGTATTTACTTAACTTTGGAAGAGGCGTAAACAGACTCACACCACCTGCTATATAAAGGTCTCCACCCAGAGAATCCTCTAGAATATACCAAAAAGAATTAAATAGATAATAATTCAAAAACAAATGATATAATTCTACATACTTTTTTCCTCTCTTGGACCAATGCCATTTAATTTGAACCCCCGTATCGATTGAGCACCGCCGAGGAAAAATCGATCAGAGATTTTTGATTGTTGGCCATTTAACGTATATAAAAATCCATTTCTTAATGAAGCACTAAAAATCTGTTTGAATATAATTTTTATGTAAAAATAAAAGTTCATAAAAAAATAGAATTAAAAAATTAAGCATAAATAACTTACAAAACCCTTCCCAAGCGGAAAATTTGTTTGGCTTTCTATTTCATTTTTAATAAAATTGACATCGCCACCTAATCCAGCAAATTCCTATTATTCGTAGCATTTTGTTAACTATAATGAATTAATATACAATTAAATATTTATATAATTTGTACTATCGATTAAAGAACCTGAAAGAGCTTTATGTAGTATCCTCTTGATGGTAACATCAGGTCGTCACGTTTGTCATGAATTAATGTGTGTGTCACGGATGATTTTAGAGAATGGCCTGCAGACTCGCGGATACTACAATTTCTCGGAGTTAATGATAAAAATAATTGAACTGAAAGTAATAATAATATAATGATAGTTCAGTACCTTAGCGTCGCCTGTGGAGAGATATTACAAATTTGCCTCCAAGTTGAACCGTAACCGAGTTCATGGTACCCAAATCGAGAAAGTACCTATGAAGAAGGAAAATACCAGAATATTTAATTTTAAAGATTGAGTTCAAATGATAGATAGGTTGATATGTATTATAACATACTCTCCACTTTAATGCAATTCCACGCATGATTTCATCGTGAGAACTGTAGATTTGATTGTTTTTAGTTAAGCTGAATGCAGAGATGTCTACCCTGGAATCTGGGTTTCCATTAATTGGTTTTGCTAAACAGAACTAGATGAAATTCAGTATTATATTACGTGTGAAATCAGACAGGTTATAATTGAGTACACTATTAACTAACGATCGCACCTCAAATACATGTGAAGTCTGAGTGCCGGCAGACATGTAAGCTTCCAATGATTCTGCACCTCCAAAAGCATTCCGAACATTTAATGAAATATTCTATAAATTCAAAAAAATAATAACATTAAACAAGAAAGAAAATTATAGAATTTCGGCAAGATAATTTTGGTTTATGATTACCGCGCTCCCAGCATCGTTACCAATTTCAGTTCCAGTTTTTATCCAAAAACGACTTTTTTCTTCTACAGATAAAATAATATCAAGAGCACTAGGTTCGTTGCTATCATCTAGAAACACATCAACATATTGAAAAATGTCAAGTCGGCGTAATTTGTCAGCAGCTACGCGAACTTCATCAATGATTGTGCCAAGAGTGCGAGCTTGAAGTGCATCATAAGTCACAGATTCCAAAAGCGCTTGTCGTGTCTTTTTCGTACCATTAATACGAAAAGAGTGGATATAAAAAGGAATATCTCTTGTTTCATAAACCTAAAAATCAATGGGCAAGATATAAATAACATAGTAAAGAAACAGCAAGAATGATGAATTAAAGTTAAATAATGGATGTAAATCGATACCAAATCATTTAACCTTCGAGCTGCTTCCTCATATCCTTTGTATATGTTGTTTTGTACTTCAGCATTCAAGTATTCATCGGTAGCCTTTTGATTTTGTCGTTCCCAAAGAGGAAACTAAACAAAGCGCGTAAAATAAAAATTCCTTGGTACTTTTATACGATAAATGTTATATTAATGAACTCAGTTGAAAAAAGTATGTCGTCCTCCATTTCATTTTCGGTTATGCTCTTTTTGTGAAAAAGGACTTTCACTTAGAACTTACCACGAATCCGAACCGAAGAAATTCGAATAATTCAAAGATTCAAACCAATTGGTAAGGTCGGTTTGGATTATTCGAATCGGACAATTAGAACAATGATTAGAAAAACGATTCGATGAATAACAATGCACATTCTGAACCGTAGTAGTTAGCAATACCTTCATCGTAAGGACTGACTAAGAATTTTTTTGAAAACTGATCAGTGATCAAAATTGATCAAAATTATGATAACGATAAAAATTTTAAAGTTATCGGACGATCAGGAATCCGGAAATTTATTCAACTCATAGGGAGACGTTCATGCGATTTGGCAATCTATTTCAATAGCAAGACTAAAATTCTCTTATTTTTATGTAAAATAAACTGACCGAATCGATAAGTTATCGAGTCGAAATCAATGTTACCATGTCAAAACCCTATCGATTCGGTCATGACAGTAAAGCGTCCCAGAATTTATGAAAACAGCTGACAATTCCGGTCAAATTGGATATGTGGTAGTCGTAATATCATCAATGCTATTTTAGATACTGGTCCGCCGGACAGTCCGACTCATTTAGTTTATGAACTATCATACCTCAGTACCCGCCCACCGTCAATTTAGCGTCAATTTAGTCAAATTATATAGTCAATTGATGGTCCCAGGAGGTACTAATCAATTTTTAAGTAAGAGACCCGGAGTCAAGGTTATAATGTATATTAAAAAAATGCATACATATAAGTAATTATAAAGATTAGAAAATGGTATTATATGGCTATAATAGATTGCCCGGTTAACAGAGTAATTTAATAATACTCGGGTAGAGATTTTCTTGACGTGTACATCTATTATTTTTGAACATGAGTCCAATAATAGTATTTAAGATATATAAAAAAATCCAATTTATTTGGGTTTTTTTTAAAAAAAAGCTATAATTAAAGATAATTAATTGCTTTTTGTGAAATACACTATATCTCATAAATATCAATAGCAATTAGTAATTAAAAAAGTTTTTTTTTTTTTTGAATAACACGCTATTATAATTACGATAAATAAAGGCATATATATATATATAACATAGTGAAAGACACATTAGTCAAAAACTCAATCCCGTCTTTTTATTCATCATCATCTGTCTCATTCTCATCATCCAGAATTTCATGATTACACACTGATTCACTTTCATCATCAAACGATTCAAATTCATCCTCAACCTTTTCGGTTTCAACAATAAGTCTCATCTCACCTATACAAACATGAGAAATGTCAATTTCCTCTTCATCAATTTTCATATTCAAATATTTTTTTACATGCTTTTGAGCTTCTTCATTGCCTTTTATTAGAGTCGTGCTAAACCAGATGAACTGTTCTTCTGATGCCGATTCCTGCTCAGACACAACAACTCTTTCACCGGTAACACAACACTTCGGATCCGAACTCATCCAGCCAGCATCACCTCCCCACCATCTGACCCATTTAAATTCCCATTTCTGCTTCGCATCGTAATCTTGAATAGTAACGTCATAGTATACTGGTTTGTCAAGTAAACATCCATGATCATATGCATCAGGTGGCGCAGTAGCAGAAGGAATACCTCTTAAGGCAAATTGCATTGTCATTTCTTCAAAGATCATATGTCCTTTGAAGTATAATGGTTTTTCATGAGAATTAGATGATAGATTTTGCGAACATTTAACGCGACGAGATCTATTTTCTGCAGAGTTACTCTCTAAGGCTTGAGCATTTTCCGCGGATACATTAGAAGTCGAGTTACTCTGAGATTTATGGTCATACTCGCAATTAATTGAATTTGAGCTTGGAAAGAAGCATAAATGAGCAAACCCTTCAAAACGTGCTATAGACTTTGTCATTTGATTCAAAACAAACTTATGCAAAGGACGTGTCAGATATGTGTCGCGGTGAATTTATATTTCAGTATTTGCGCGTGTAATACAAACTAAAAGGCGTTGCAAGTAATACAAACCCAAAAAAAAGGGTCGCCCATTTGGCATCCACTTATTTATGCCGGTAATACAAACCTCTAAAAAGGAAATGGCCAATCGGAGAACGTAAAATGTGATGATCCCGGATCAGCCCGACACGTGAGCAAAGCGAAGAAAAACACCGAAAAAGAGAAAATACTCAAAAACTAGTGTTTAAATCGACCTTTTTGGACTAATAAAAAATAACAGGAATGAAATTTTACATATAAAAACTCAAATTATTACTAAAAGCTCACACCCCTAACCCTAACCCTAACCCTAACGTCCTAATTCTAAACTTTCTTAATTTATTTACAAATGTGATTTCCTTTTTTGGTTTGTATTATCAGTGCAAATAAGCAAATTGGCCTATTTGTACTGAAATAACAATTGAAATCATAAACTTAACTGAATTGGCAGCTAATTTTTATTAGATGTTTCAGGAATTATAATAATAGCTGTAATTTCAAATATCTAGTTGATGTTACAGTAAAGATTTTCAATTTAGTTTGGAATTCTAAATTCTTTGCAGGTGTTTTAGGAATTATTGTCCGAAGCGGAGGACACTGTTCTTACAACAACAAGTGATCATCTAAATCATGTGAGAATTCTGTCTACTTGATTAGTAGAATATAGTAAGCATATGAATTTTTTATTTATGCTCCAGCAGTTACTAGTGATAATAGCTGTAATTTACAGATGACCCACCGCTAGGGATGTTAAAAGTTCAGTTTGGTTTGACTTGACTCCATGATTTGAGTCTTGATCTAGACTCGGTTACAAGTCAGACTTGAACCAAATTCACTATATCCTGTGAAATATCAACTTTAATTTTTTATTTTGAAAATTTTTAATTTTTATTAAATACGTATTTATAATACTATATATACTAATAAATATATATACTTTTTATTATTCTAAAAAACACTAGCTTCCATCCAATTTTTTAAGCACAAGGAGGCTCTAGTTGTTTGTTTGAGAAGATGATTTTGTATGAGATTAATTGTGTGTTTTACAATAAAAAAGGCATGTTCACAGGGGATGTTTGTAACTTGAAGTATATAGTAATTCACTGTAACAGAAGCTATAGTTGGAAAAAGGTGTGGCAGCTTAGTGAAGTAGTCAAGTTGTCACCCTCTCCAAGTAGCAGGTCTAGGGTTCAAATCTCACGGACGACAAAAGTTTGAAAAATAGGCTTGCGTTACAGTAACGGATCTTCATTAAGTTGGGGCTTAGATTAACCTGTAACTTCGGG